TTCCTCCATTATAAGGAAAAGAGGCTCTTCCACTGGCCCCCTGAGCAGATGTCTGTTTAATGGAGCCATTTTACAACTTCTGTGAGATTACTGGGATCTCCTTCATTACAGAATATTAAAGGAAAATATAACTTTAATATTTCTCATTAATGTGTGTATATAGATAGATAGATTTGAGACATACCTCACAAGCGTAGCCTGTTATCCAATTGGAAGGGCCTCTTGTAGGGTTTCTGCACTGTAATATACATGTTTCTTGGTTAATTTCAAATTGGTCAGAAGGGGGTGCAAATGTAATGGTAGGCTGGAGGAAATGTCCAGTACCTTTCAGAGAAAACCATCTGGAGTCCACCATCTCCGTATGATTGGAATGTCACACTGGAAGACACAAACATAGAGAAATCTTTAAATATCAACTGTTACAACATCATAAAGGTAAATTACTTTAACTGATAACCACTTACAGATGTAAAATTTATTTAACAACTAAATAATCACACCAATAATTGGTTGCAAACATGTATGGTATAGCCTAAAATAAATAAAGTACACAGGTAAACTATTATGCAATAATAAATTATGAGTACATATATTAAACAAACAACTCAAGATATGCATACCTCCACAGACAACTGCCTTGTTGAAGTGGATTTGAAGATGATTTATTAATTTGACCAGTTTAGCTGGCTTAAACATGCTGGTCAAGCAGAAAATTGCTGGTAATTGCTGTAACACTTGTTGCACTGCTGTAGCTCAGATAATGTGTCAACTCTCTGAATCCTTATATGTCTCTACAAGAGATGAAGCCACACACAATTATCTCAATGATGACAAATGGGATTAAAATAACTAAACTATAAGGTAATATTAACACACAAACAATGCATATAACAGAGGAACGTAAAGCAAACTATTTATTTGTATGAATAATAAACGTCTTCAAAACTTCACCGCAAGGCCCATTTACAGCATGCATCCGAAAATGTATCGAAACATCCACAGAAAAAAGTTATATACTATAAAGTATGACAACAAATTCAAGCTTCAATATAAGATAATAAAGCCAAGCACACATTAAGTACTTAGCAGGTAAATGCTTAACGTAATATATACGATAATTATTAAACATATGATAGCAAACACATTTTAGAACGCGCTGCATTTCCCCTTTTCACCACAGATTTACGTTGCAAAATTGTGGGGCGCTGTTGAGCTCGGGAGGTCTCAGGCAACATCTGCCCCGCTTAGTATCATAGGCCTACATGCCTGCTAAAGCCATGCGCGGGATTTTAATATATACTGCTTACTTTACGAGTTATAGTTTATATAGAGGTCTATGTTTTGGATGAATATTTTGGTTCATATAGACGAGCCGCGCCTGTTGTTAGATCTTAGAGCACCTTACTGGCAGTAGGGGGTACCTTTCAGTTTCGTTTTCATAGGCGTGTCGGATCGTGTTACATGTTTCACGAGTCAGGAAGGCTTTTGCACGTTTGTAGCGGATGACAAAATTGGTGTAATTCTTTGGAATTCTCACTGTACTGCAGTATGAACTCTGGAACACTATTCAAATAGTTCTGCTTAAACTGCAGGATAAAGTCGATCAACCACGATGGCGGAGCCTCATAGTGAGTGAACTATTTATTAAGGCCTAATTATTTATTTAGCGAAATCCACCGACAATAGTATTTTAATACGTTTTCCTTTAAGGGTAGCCTAAATCCCGGATTCGGATCGAAATTCGGAATATTGTTTCTGTTCGTACTTCGCACGTTTCCGTCATTTAAGTTTGAGCTTCTTCACAAAAGTAGGCTACGTTGCTCGGGAAGGGCCACGTCCAACTCATGGGGACAGGGATCTACAAAATTATCTATAGGGTGGCAAGATTAACAAAATATCAATATCCACAACACCTATAAATGTTTCATGAGCTTGTAAGAGTAGGTCTCTCATTAGTTGGCCTGCATGGAAGAAGTTATTTTATTAATATTATGTAGACCACTTGAATGATAGGCCTATATAAAACACGTTTTAGTGCATCAAGTTTATGAGCAACAAACGCTTGAATTTGATAACTTTAGAATGAAAGCACTGAGGTGTTTAAATCTCAGATATTACCGCAGTGACCGTACTGCACTGTTATCTATCTATCTATCTATCTATCTATCTATCTATCTATCTATCTATCTAACTGTAATCTATCTAACTAATCTATCTATCTATCTATCTATCTATCTATCTATCTATCTATCTATCTATCTAACTGTAATCTATCTATCTATCTATCTGTCTATCTATCTATCTATCTATCTATCTATCCTGACCTTCAAACCATTTTACATTTTAAGATAAGATTTTGTCAAGCCAACAAAGTTTGTCTTACAAATGTTTCAATCTAGTAAATGAAGATTACATTCTTACCTAACTCTGCATTTATTTCCATTATCAGGATCTTCTTAATATTGATTTAATTTTTAGAAAGGTCTGTGTTCCTGATGAAAGTGGAGGGGACAGTCAATGTCAGTCAGAGAATCTGCGCACCACAATGAAATAGATTCTCGACAAAGGGCAAAATAAATGAGGAGAAATATTTTGGAAAATAATACAGCAATCCTAGCCATCCTATTCAGAAGCACGGCTGCTGATAAGCAGTACAGTAACAACTGCCTACATTTGTAATTTATACTGGGATAATTCTGAGGTAGCAACCGCCCCGTGCACAGACCTCCGGAGGGGCAGGGGAGAAATCTCGAGCCCATCTTTATCTCAATACAGTCATAGTTATTTTTCTTTGGATAAGAATGGCAAATGTACGCGCCTATTACAGTTTTTCTCAGTCGCTTTGGCGCATTTCTCAGATCAGAAATGAAATTCTCAAAACTACTTGTTCAAACTCCACATCATCTAGTCACTTGCGCACATCAAAAAAGCAGTTTCTCTTTCTTTTGAACAAGTTGCGATTGCTTTGGTACATTTATGCAATTGATTATGTACATTTATCTGCGGTTTCCTACATTATCAGTTGCTAATGTCATGTTGCTCAAAATGTATTATATAGTTCTCTGCATAAGAAGTGCAGCCTTGCATTTCAATACAGTAACTTCATCCAAACTGTTGCCCAAGTTTATGTCAGGTAATACTAACAGAGTTCACTGTTATATTGAAAACATGACTTGTCTATCTTGTTCGTGATCAATGACACAAGGACTTTTCATTCTGATGGCACTGATATGTTCATTGACATAAATACTTAATTTTGAGAGATGAACTAAAGATTTTGAGTAAGTTACAAGCTTTTGCAGGAAATCCATTGTGTGGTGCTGTTTGTACAAATTGTTTTGAGAAATGCACATACTTATTTGCAAATATTGAGGTTGATTTGAGAAATGCACCAAAGCGACTGACAAAAACTGTAAGACAGCTAATTTTACAGAAGACTAATATTCAGAATGTGATCAATGTCTTTTGCATAATGCCAGAAACTGCACACGGCCCTGTGAACTTATAGGAGAGCATACCACACTTTTAGACTGTTCTATATTTTTGAACAAATGTTTGCATTCAAGGTTTTTTGTATAAATGGGACCATTGGACAGCGTGGGGGTTAGAGATGCAATCATGTTTTCATTCAAGTCATTATGATTATTTTTTTTATTATTTTTTTGGCATATTGATTACCATTTGTATAACCACAGTTTTACTACAAATGCCATAGTTAAACTATAGTTAGCATAGTAAACCATGGTTAATTTATGGTTATGGTAAAGGGAAAACAATTGGCAGAGTAAAAATAGAGCAGACATTTTTTATTGGTAAAGGATTTTTTTTTTTTGTCCTGGTGCACCTTACACTTAGAAAAAGCATTGAGAAGAGAAAAAAAAAAACTTAATTCATAGATTAAAACTTGTCAAGGCAATAAGCAGAGTGGGCATAGAAACATTTAGTATGCACAGCCTTTGGAAAGAAAACGCAGGACAATATGAAGTATATTGTACAATAATGAGATTCATTAAAGATACTGGATTAGAAGGGAGAATTTAGCTGTTTTTTGTTTGTCTGTTTCCCACTGCACATTAGTGCTTCACACTCCAGTCTGGTTGGTGGCAGTAGTGCACCAAAAGTTGGTTTAAGTATTGCCTACAGTGGCCTTTAAATAGAGACCTCATAATATAGATTATGAGGTCTCTACCAGAATAATAAGCACTGGACAATAAATCTACTAAGTGTAATTATTCCAACTGACATGAGCTCTAACCAATTCCTTTCATGCAGAGCCAGACACAACGATAAAATCTGAGTCATCTTTTCATGTAAGTGATCTAAGTAAATTTTCTACAATGTGTGTTTGTTACAATGAGACTTCAAAGCTCTTTATTGAATGTTGTGTGAGTCGGTTTACTTTATGTTCATGAACTGCTTAACACTCGTCATTCTCCCTTTATTAAGAGTTTCAAATTGGCAATGTCTAGGAAGCATGATGAAATGTATCCCGTTCTCCAAGGTAGGCTCATATTCTTTCTGTAAAATATGAGATCTCTACTTTGACTTCTGATGAACAGTATAGTTTGTTGCTGTGTTTGTGTCTGCATGAAGAAACTCAGTGTCCTAAAATTACTATAGATTATGAGGTCTCTACCAGAATAATAATAATGAAGTGTAAATTAAGTGTTGGGCACTAAACTGTTTCTACAAAATCAACATCAGATCAAATTGTATACTTGTGTCCTGAATCCAGTTGACATGAGCTCTAACCAGTTCTTTTCCATTAGGGCCAGACACAACGATGGAACCTCACTCACCTGTACATCTAGTAAGTGACAAGAAATTTTCTATAGTGTGTGTTTGTTATAATAAGACCATGGTGCACTAAGAAGGACATGAAAGCTCTTTATTTTCACCTAATGTTGTGTGCATCTGTTTACTTCATGTCCATAAACTGCTCAAACACTAATTTTTCTCTCTTTATTAAGAGGCGAGTTTTCGTACAGCCTAAGAGCTTTAAAAAAAGACTCCCAGTAATCGAAGGTAGGCTAATATTTTGATCTTTTACTGTGAGAGCACTATGTTGATTGCTGATGAACATTGTAATTAGCTGCTGTGTTTGTGTCTGCGTGAAGGAACTCACGCAGACACAAACACAGACACTCACTGCGTGAAGGTGAAGTGTTTTAAAAGGACTTCAGATCATGAGATCGCTGCCAGAATAATAAGCGTTGGGCACTAAACTGTTTGTACTAATTCAACATAATATCAAATTGTACTTGTGCCCTTATTCCAGCTGACATGAGCTCTAGTTCTTTTCAATCAGGGCCAGACACAATGATGGAACCTCAGTCATATCATGTAAGTGATGAGGAATTTTCTATAATGTGTGTTTGTTATAATGAGAGCATGGTGAACTAAAAAGGACTTGAAAACTTTTTATTTTGAGCTAATGTTGTGTGCGTCTCATGTTAATGAACTGTTAACACTCATCATTCTTTCTTTATTAAGTGGCCAAGTTACTCAGTGCTTAAGTGGCATGATTGGACTGAAAGACTCAGAGAAAGAGACCCAGGTAGGCTCATATTCTGACAGTTTAATATGAGAGCTCTACTTTGATTGGTCTTGAAATAAACCACCAACTGAATATCTAAAAAACACTAAAAGAGTTTAAATCAATAATTTAAAGGCTGATACACATTAATAAGTGGTGGTGAACTGTTTTCTTTTTTAAGACAGAAGTGTAATTTGAATCTTGACCAAGCAGTTCAAGTTATAATTCAGCTTGAGTAATTCAGTGCAATAAGATTCTGCAACTTCAGCTTGGTTTAAAAGTATTGTCTGTTCTGTTGTCTGTTCAGTGCGTTTAAACACGACATTTCATCTCAGGGTAACTGTATTATGTGGTTTTTCTCAATTGAATTTAACATTTTGTATTGTGAGGCTAAAGAATGTTTTATGTTTTCCTCTAGCATGGCAGGAGATGGTATGTCAGTACAAGGAGTCAATCAAACGGAAATATGAACATAGGAATGAGAGGAGTTTCCTCTCTGGTGAAAGAGTCTCACTGGCTGCCCTCTACACTGAACCTGTGATTATTCAGAAAAATAAAAAAGGCAGTTTTCGGAATATCAGTGTGGAGGAGTTGTTTAATAAGTTAGACATACATCTGCATTATCCAAGTAATGTATCCAACATTCTCCAAGGAAATTCTGGTAGTGGAAAATCTTTCTTAGTGCAAAAGATTATTTTGGACTGGGCATTTGAACAACATTACCTTAAAGAATTTGATCTAGTTTTCTGTCTGAGGCGTGAAGAGCTGAAGTGTATTTCTGAGGAGATGAACTTGATTGAGCTCCTGAGCTGGAATTGTGGTTTATCGTCAGATCAGATTTCAGAGATGTTACAGAACTCATCACAGAGAGTGCTCTTCATCATTGACGGACTTGATGGTCTTGATGAACTTAGATTCATGTGTGATGAATTTTGCATATCATCCAAATTCCAGAGAGCCCCACCTGAGGTCATTGTTTGTTCCTTGCTTCGTCAACAAATCCTGCCCAGATATTTTTTGCTTATCACTACTAGACCTGAGGTCCCAAAGAGGATGTTGCTTATAGGACAACAACATTTATCTAGGATAGTAGGTTTCTCTGAGAAGGGGGTGGAGGAGTACTTCCAGAAGTTCTTCCAGAATGAGGAACTCTTCAATTCTGTTCCTCTGTGGTCTCTGTAAGAAAGAATGGATCTCCTCATTCATTGAAAAGCACAACATGACCGTCTCTGTCAACATAGAAACCCAGCTTAAGGAATGGATCAATCAGTGTTCACAGAGATATCAAAATGAACACGTGCTGTTCATTCTCCATTGTCTCTATGAGCTTCATGAGAAGAGCTTCATTGGAAAAGTTTTGGAACCGTTGGCTTCAATAGATCTGTCAAATATTCTACTGAAAAATGCAGACTGCTGGATGTTGCGGTTTTGTTTTCAGAACTGTGTTAACATTGGCAAACTGAGACTCAGTTTAACATCTGACAATGTGAAGATTCTTCAGTCTGCACTGTACACTTGTGAAGAGTTGTGGTGAGCAAAGATCAGACTCTCTACATGTTTGAGACTTTAAAAATGCTCTTGAATTTATACCAACTGTACTATGCTCAAATACATTCAATTTTATGTGAGCTCTAATCTTGACGTCAAATTATTATATCTGATATCTGAATGTTAATATGTTCTGTTCATTTTAAAGGTTGAAGGTGGATCACATTACAGATGATACTGGGGATTTGATCTCAGCTCTTGGTGAAGGAAAGATTGTGAAAGAACTGATGTAATGGATATTTAATTCTAAATTTAGTAATATCTATTACTGCTATGGACTCTATGCATGGAGCACAGCCTACACATTTGCGCTAAAATATCAACCAGTGCCTGTGCTTCTGGTGATATTTTTAGATAAAGCGAAGTATTAGTCTTCTCTTTGAAATCGAATTCTTTAACCTTTCAGTGCCATTGTCAATTAACTGGATCATCAGGTCTTCAACTCCACATTGATCTCTCGTTGCCTGATATTTATCAGAAACTAAGAAATTACACATAATGACGGTTATTTATTTTGGGGACAAAAACTATTCCCATTTATAATTTGCTCATACTATTATATGGTTAAATATAGGATCACGCTGTCAACGAATCCAACTTCAGTAATACTATGACAATTCACCCCACATTTGACATGCAGCCACAGTAACGTTAACTCTCATTTGTCAAATGTAATTACATAATATTATACAAATATTATACATATAAGGAAAAGTTTTAGTTAGAGGCTTGTTAGCTTCTCAGCTGTAGCTGAATGAAATGACAGCCTTCTGTCATACAAAAATAGATAGCGTTGTTTATAGCCTTTTCTAGAAAGTCTTGTTTTCATATAATATCATAAAAAAAACTTTTTTTCACTGCACCAGATTTTACTGACTTGATAGAGACAAAATGAAGAAGTTACCATGCAAAGAGTCCATTACTTGTACAGTAAAATAGTACATTTATTGTAATTGGCAGAATACAGGATCAAAAATCTTCAAAAGCTTCTCACAAAAAAAGGATCAAAAGCTTCTGCCAAGAGATTATTGCATCAGTTAAAGATGAAGACGTCATGTAAGAAACTCTAATCATAAAAAAAATGACTGCTTAATTTTTGCTACTAATATAAAAGTAAAGTCTCTAAACTTTACCTTTTTAGGCTCTGTTTTCAGTTTTCAGTTTCCAGCTCTAAAATAAGACCATCATCGTTAATCTCAGAATTAACTCTCACCTGTTCACGCCCAGAGGTTTCCACTGTCAACTGGAAAATCTTCCTGCAGAAACTCCAGAGATTACCCAGGTCTGTGAAGAAGAGAGTGTGAATTACCTGCATCTTTTTAGCTTCCTCTCTACTAATAATAAAGCCGTGAGTTTAATTACTTTGAAAAGCCATCTTGATGCTGAGAAATATAATGTAACTTTTCAGTTGCAAAGCTACTTTATGAAAAGGATATTCAGACAGACCATGGTATAAATTATACATGTTAAACTACAGTATATGTCATTATACTATATATTATTATATGAACACTATATACTGTATGTTATAATATTTACACAGCTCTCAAGTTTCATCAGCGGATGGGTTTTTCCTTCTGGATGTCCTGCACTCTGTGTCTGGTTTAAAGAAAGTCCATTTGCAGATAGACGAATTGACTGTCGGATGGATTTTCACAATCCTCTCGCTTGTCCAGGCCTTTCCCAGTCTGAACGAACTCCGGTAAGAATAAAGATCTGCTCTTTTAAGCATGTATTATATGGATTTGTATATGCTTGTGAATATAAAAATTATTTTAAAATTGTTTTCAGAAACATACGTAGCTAAATGTTTTTTCCATGCCAGGACAAATTCCGCAGTTTCATTTATCCCATTTAACATGAAACAGTATCTGGTGGAATCACTGACGCAGACAGGTTGGACCCTGACTGTGTAAGTATACATAAAATATTAATATTAAAATATATGACTAAAATTGATGTCTTTGAAAATACTTACAATAATCAATGTTTTCTCCTCTAGCTGGAGGAAGTCAGTGTTGATTGAGCGAGACAGGAAGAGTTTCACCGAGGAGGACTTGAAGACAATAAAGACAGAAAATACAGAGAGTAAAAGTAAGCAAATTTTATACAATCCCTAAAGTGAAAAGAAAAATGTGGTCTCAGTCAGATTTTTTGTTTAGCCAATCAAAAGACTTTGAGGCACTTTATGCCTGTCAATCATTTTGTAGAGAGCATCATTTTGTTGGTTTGTTGTGAGAGAACGCTGTTTTACTACCATTGCTATTGACAACTATACCTATACAAAGTCAAACATGTGTAAAGCTGAGTTTGCAGTTCAGTTTTATTTGTTATTTTAATTAAATATGAAATTGTGCTGCTATTGTTAAGCTCCATCTCTGGTTACAATAGTCTCCAAGCATCTCTGTATGCATAGGCGATTTTACTGTGGATGCTGGAGGTGCATTTGTACTCCCTACTGTTGGCCTTTGATAATGACAAAAATATAAAATGTTAAAGTTAAAAATTATAAAAATATAATTTTAAGTCAACATTTCATTATTAAAGTTGTGTTTGTATTTAATGACCTTTAAACTCACATTAGAATGTTTCAAAAACGTTTAGAACATCTAACATTGCTTAAAGTACCTTTAACTTTATATGAATTGTTTACATAGACAAAGATCTCTTTAAGTCAAACAAGCAATTGTGTTTTTTTGAGTCAGAATTGTCATTAACATTAACTATTCAATTGAAGGCCTATTAAGTGAAGTCTAATTTGGTGCTTGGCAAATATTAATTTGCTTTTCATTGTTTCTTTTTAATTTTGCTGTCAGTATTATTATTATTGTTATATATTTCTTCAGTTTTATATTAAATGGCTTGGTTTTTAGCCACAGAGCTCAATAACAAGCTTTCTGGCTGTGAAAGTTTGAAACTCATGAGTCTAATGATTTGTGTCTTACTCTTCATTAGGAGCTGAATCATCTTCAGGACAATCAGTGAGTTGCAAATGTCATGTATTCTTTCTGTCATCACGTTCAGAATAAGAGGATCATTCCTTTCTTTATTTCAGTCCTCAGGTTATGCAGAAGTGTTCACACCTGAATGTGTTCAGCAAGATGATGAGGACAAACACAAGACTATATACAGGTATGGAACACTTATGTTTTTTGTAAGAAGGTAAGGTGTTGAATTTCTGAGCTTAAAAGTTCAAATGAATTAAAATATGTCTATTATTGTAACACTTCATAACTATCACATCCTTACATACAATGGCTCTATTATTATCTTTCAGATGAACATTTCTCATATCCAGCTTTTGTTAACCTTTGCATATATTCATGTCTGTTTGTTCCATTGTTGCTGATTGTTTTGCCTGTGTATTGTTTTTTTTTTTTACTTTTGCTTCAGTACTCTAAACTTCTTGCTTGGGAAAATTGATGTTGTTATTTGGATTTGTTTGCATTAATTATTCCAAAATCTTGATTCAAACATCCCAAATCTTTTTTTTTCTTCTTTTTTTTTTTTTTTGCATGATCTCCAGTGTTATCACATAATAAAATATGCAGGCCATTATGATTTAATAAAATAAAAATATTCTGTCTTCCAGGTTTGTGTGTCCACATGCTGGTCAGTTTCAGTGCAGTCTGACCAGCCTTGTGTTTGTGATGGAGGGTGAAGGAGAGGTGCTGTATAACATTGTCTCATGGGATCCTGGTCTGGGTCAGTTGCGGCCTGCAGGACCCTTGTACAACATTGACTGTTCTGCAGGTTCAGTCTCACAACTACACTTTCAACACTGTGTGATATTCTCTGGTATGTTTAGTTCTGCATCCTAAATATTACAGTTTTTCTCAATTACTTTGGCACATTTTTCGAAACAATCTTAACATTCTCTAAACTGCGAGTGCAAATGTCACAGCTGTTTGCTGGAACTTCAGAACTTTATTGCATGTCTGCAAAATGTGGTTACTCACCCAAAACATTTCATTCATGCTTCAAAACCTAGTTATCGTGTCAGTAATTTGGCCAAGGCCACCAAAATATAAAGTATTTTTGTCATCGTGTGAGCCACACTGGTCAAAATGTTTAGTTGTTTTTTCACCATGATCGAGAATTGAGCCAAAGCAATTGAGAAAAACTGTAATGTGTTTCACAGTGATTGACTTGACCAGTTGTATAGAATTTATGAAACAGTGACTGATAATTTACATATCAAATTACTTAAGTGTAAATAATATGCATGTAAATAATTAGCAAGAAGTGTGATGACAGATCTTAATGATTACATAACGGCTCATTTCCACAGAGCGGTATGGTTCAGTTCAGTACAGTACGGTATGCAAATATTTCGGGTTCCATTGTCAGAAGTTGTGAATGGTACCAAAATAGCAAACCATACCGTACCACTTTTTGGGACCCTTCCTTTGGGGTATCTAGCACAGTAGTCCGGTACCTAAAGGGTGGAGTTAGACTCACTGCAGAAAGCTGATTGGTTGACAGAGAATCATTACTTGCGAGTGCTACAAGGGGAATGACAACACAAGGGGAATGAAGCGTCTCCTTCACTCGTTCCGCCATGCTGGATCAGTGTGTACCATCCCGAATCGTACCATACTGTACTGTACTGAAACGTACCGCTCGGTGGAAACGAGCCATAAGAGCACTTAATGTCAAAATGTTGGTCACTGTATAATTAGAAAAAAATACCTTTATTTTACCAAAGAACAAAATTGTTAAATGTTTTTTTGCAGAAGAAAATAAGGACCGTTTGGCTGTAGCACATTTCACTGGTGGTAATGTAGAAATAATACAGCCACTCAAAGTGACAGAAACTCATGTGATCATTGACATCAGAGACCTCAGCAATTTTGGGCTCATCTGGATTAAAACAAAATTTGGCTTCCCCATTAATGGCCAGGTTTTGCTCTTTCTTCGATCTGTAACTGTTGAGCAGAAAATACTTAATGTCCACTTGCTTCCAGGGAATGTTCCAGTATCAGAGGTACTACTATCTGAATGCATTGTTCCTTTTTTTCCTATGTGCTTTCAAATGTAAATGAGTATTAAATAAGAGTATGAAATAAAAACCTGTATGTTTTAAAGCTTGAACAGGTTGAGCATATTTGTATACATACATTATTACTGCTTTTGTATATTATTCCCCCCCACAAGGTCCAGCGCTGGCACCTGGATAAAAAATACATTGAGACAAGTTCAAAATGTCATCTGTTTCCTGACAGAAAATACAGTCTGTGTTGTCAGCCAGAGGATTGTGAAGTGCAACCAGTGGTAACAATATTTACTGAATAACATTGGATTTCAATTGTAATTCCATGCTTCATTAGACATGATTTGGGTAGTTGATGTATAGCATGTATAACAAGGCCTTCAAATGTAACTCATTCAATCAGAATCCAGAGTCAGAACTAACCACTTTATAATGTTGTCTTAATATTGGTGTTTTTTGTTTTGTTTTTTTTAGAGTGAGATGTTTGAGCTTGATAATTTTGGCCCAAACTATCATCCCACGTTTGAAGTGTTTTTGGATGTCAGCATCGAGGAGGTCAGATTGGGTGTTTTGGACAAAACTCGAGATGGGAAGGAAGTGTGGAAAAGACGGCGAATCCTTCTTACAGGTACTCATGAAATTCTTTTGTAGGAGTAAAAGATTTAAGAAAGGTTGGGAGAGATTTCAGTTGATCTATAGATACACCTCTGTGAGAAATCATTTCTAGCTTTGTCCTTGTTCGTTAGAGTGTTGGGGAGGCTAATTTTGCAAGCAAAACATAGCCTTAGTTAACTATGCTAAAGCTATTTAGGAGAGCAATGCAGTATCTCTTTAAATATGTAATGCAGATTATGTGTGTATTTGGTGATCAGCAGTATTTATCCAGTACAAAACAATGAGGATCTCAGATCGAGTGACATCATTAAACTTAGATAAATGTAAACTAAATGCAAGAAATAAAACTAGAATAACATTTTCTATATTGAAAAACCATTGGTGACATTTTTTTTAACAGGTTTATTTACATGAACTGTCCAAAATAATGCTTTGTTCATCTTTGTGGTGTGTGGTGGTTTGGCCTAGATAGAAGATAAAGCTAAAGGCTGGAAAGATAGTGGTTTATTCCCTACAAGGAATCAGACCTCAAAAGATTTTGATGACTTCAAAATGTTTGGCAGATTTCTCAGTGATCTCAAATGTCTTTTTTTTTTAAATTATTTTTATTATTAGTAGCACCAAGTAAAGGTGTAGAACTTCCTGTGCACAGAAGGATCCCAGGTCTGATTTTAATGCTGAACATTTCAATTATTCTTGTAATTGTGTCTTACACATACTGTACACTCTTCTGAAGACTAACTTAAAACATCTTTTGTTTCAATCAGAAACTGAATTTGTGAACACGCACAGAGATAAACTCATTGAGAGAGTTTCATCAGTGATGGCAATTGCTGACAGTTTGAAGAGCAAAAACATGATTAATGGTGAAATGTACAGTAAAGTTCATGCTGCAGAACCACGAGAGGAGAAAATGAGACTCTTGTTGGATGCTCTTGACTCTGGAGGAGCTGCTGTAAAAGCAGAATTCTGCAGACTGCTGAAGGAGAAGGAGCGTTATCTTGTAAATGAACTGGGGCCTCATTTATAAAAACAGATTTGATCTTAGTGTGCGGAAAATCCACTCAGAATCAGAAAAACTGTCTTTGACGTGGAAAAGTGCTTAAGGCATGTCCGTTTCCAAACACATACGCACAAGGGAGCAGTTCAGGCCTAATGGTTAGAGAGTCAGATTTGAATGAATGAATGAATGAATGATGCATTTATATAGCGCTTTATTGTGTATTGTTGTACACCCAAAGCGCTTTACAATCATGTGGGGGGGGTCTCTCCTCAACCACCACCTCAACATTTGTAACCCAAAGGTCATGGGTTCGAGTCTCAGTACAAGGCAACGAACCCCCAACTGCTCCCCAGACGCCACAGCAAAAACGGCTGCCCACTGCTCTGGGTGTGTGTTCATGGTGTGTGTGTGTGTGCATAATCATTTAGATTTCACATCTGGAAGAGAGGCATACACACTTTGTTTTTTTGCATGTGTTAATTTCTTTAATTTCTCCATACACACATTTACGAAATGATCGCAAGATCAAAT